ATTCATAAAAAAGTTAAACATCGCCCCCTGAAATCGCTTGTCTATTAGTAACTTTTTTCTCTTAATTTCATTACAGCTTGACTCCATACAGTATTTTTGATACACGTATGGAATTTTCATCATGTGATATCAGTAGCTTAAATTTAGCTGGCCAACCATTGATATCAGGTGTGTGTCTGCTGGGGGCAGCCTGTAGGGGTGAGGATATACGTTGTGCGAGTTATATTTTCCGCGACTCAGGTTTCTTCGTCTTTCATTGGCTAGAACGGTGGCGGTCAATTGGATATTTGATTTGTCCTTGGTAGGTCGTATCGTGTGAGGTTTTGTGTGGTTGTGTTACGCGTCGTTTGCAAGCAAATTTGACAAAGATCGATGTAATGTTTGACTATTTTAACATTGTTTCACTGTTTTTTACACAGATGCACTTCTCTTTTCGCTATAAACTCCCTGGAAACTGGTCAGGCATTATGGTTCATATCAGTGACTACCATCCCGTGGGTGCCAATGCATTTCTTGAGTTGTGGTTATAGGTACATTATTTCCTACTCCGTGATTTCCCACTCACATAGTCTGGTATCCTGTGTTTCTTGCGACTTAGCTGTCACAAGCTGTTGCAATAATGTGCTTCGTTAACGTGCCCTTTTTCTAGAATTTCATCGCAGGTAATCAGTGCGAGCGCAAGCAGCACATATGTAAAAAGCTACAAAAGCATTAGAAGACTTTCAAAAGGCGTGAACTTTACATATTGCTACGGCCGTAATTTTGAGTGACCGCGAATGAGATAAACAAGCGATTCGCTCGCTTGTGATTGGCCAGTTTGTCATTCGAGTTGAGGTAATTTCAAACATCATTTTGCTGCTTGGTTAGGCAATGGAGGCAATGGATAAGGGCACACACGTGGTGTCGTTATGTGTTATCGCGATGTTGTGTTCGGGTTGTTCTACGTTGTTTTCAGGTGTTTTTTCAACTGAAATACATTATAAATACCATATTTTAACGAAAAAACTTAGAAAAATGGTGGAAGGTAGACACTTTCAGCAGTTTGAGTGAACATGTATCTGTCATTGAATTTCGTTATTTCTTTCCATGTGGAATGTTAAAACTGTGTAAATTGTTGATTACGTTAAGGAAAACGAAATCAATTTGGCAATTGATGCATATTTTGCGAAATTCGGAAAGGGTGTTTTGAATCTCTGAGATATGAAAACTTGGTAACACTCAGAAGAGTCTACAGCTATATAGGAGTGTTAGTTGATTTATTCTCAAGATAACAGTTAATAAACAAATTTTTTTAAATAGTTAATTTGGTTTGGAGTATTTTCGTGTTGCTAATTATTATTTGTTAACGGACGTCATACTATTGTTGATTTGCAGGTTGCAATTGTAATTTACGGAGTGATTCACTTTATTTGGAGGCTTTAATGAAGTGCAACTGAAGAATCTGCGCGTTATTGTAGGAATCTTTGTGATATTAAAAAATTATTTATCAAAATAAATATCTCTTTAATGTTTTAACGGTGTTCTTTAAAGAATTTACTACTACTTACCTTTGCTTGTCGAAGGAATAGTGATGTAGCCGGTTTTGGAATGCGTTAAACAGTTAAACAGTACATATTCACATTAAAAAGGGTGGAAAAAAATCACAGTTGTAGAGTTTTTATGGGTACATGATCGTCAAATTAAAGTCTACTAATCGTCTTATCCACAATATGTGGATCAGTTTCCCTTAGATGATTGTGACACTGGACAAGTCTTTACATCTTTCAGCACCACCTGATCCTTCAGAAGAAACTGGTTATGACCTTTCCATGCAAAGATTGAGATTGTATTCCTTTGACCACCTCCGGCCACACTGAGAAATATCTAAGGATATATACATATCAGATGAATTAATCTTACCTCAGGTGAACAATCCCTAATCTTAGCAACAATGAATATGTGAACAAGGGAGGGAACAATAGTAGAATCGGTATGAACAGTCCACATATCCCATAATAAACTCAAAGAATCCTAGAACTTCCGATCTATCTTTCACAGTTTGTTTTCTGAAAAATGCAAATGTTACACAAATGGCTCTCCTCTCTGTCCGTTACAATCAACTGGAAAAGACTAAATCTTCAAACTTTATACTTCTTTGATTAAGTTACCCAATAATATTCTCTTTTTTAGTGGGTCCACATGCCTATCACATCTGTAGAATCTATACATGCGTTAACTTGTGTCCTTAGGCTGAAAAAATGTAATGTTTATGCGACTTTTATTACTATCATTTCAAAGCCCGCATTAGTAACGTGAGCTACGTATTGGCCGCAGCGTTTACACAAAGTAAATTCTACCAATCACAGTATGCATATGTGACCTTGAGGTGCTCAGCCTCTCCATAAGGTCGTGTATGCCTTTATCCATTGCCTCCATTGCCTAACCAAGCAGCAAAATGATGTTTGAAATTACCTCAACTCGAATGACAAACTGGCCAATCACAAGCGAGCGAATCGCTTGTTTATCTCATTCGCGGTCACTCAAAATTACGGCCGTAGCAATATGTTAAGTTCACGCCTTTTGAAAGTCTTCTAATGCTTTTGTAGCTTTTTACATATGTGCTGCTTGCGCTCGCACTGATTACCTGCGATGAAATTCTAGAAAAAGGGCACGTTAACGAAGCACATTATTGCAACAGCTTGTGACAGCTAAGTCGCAAGAAACACAGGATACCAGACTATGTGAGTGGGAAATCACGGAGTAGGAAATAATGTACCTATAACCACAACTCAAGAAATGCATTGGCACCCACGGGATGGTAGTCACTGATATGAACCATAATGCCTGACCAGTTTCCAGGGAGTGGTGACTCTAAAGAATAGCGGCCCAAACCGAAACGACCTTTTAACGCAAAAATGACCTTGACAGGGACAACTTCGGCCAATGAAAAGGCTCAAAAAGGAAGGCGCATAATTGTAAAAAACGGTTTATATAAAAGTAATGCAATCATAATAAACCGCTCTTATACGTCTTTTTAGACGACTCCTAAAACTTTCAATGGAACTGGTGTGGGTTCCATCTAAAGGATTCCGGAAACCGTTCGTATGATTAACAACATGATGAATGTACCCATGATTCGATAATTGACGGTATCCGCTCCATTCATCTGTATGAATAGTCGTCCCCGGCAACACCAAACGCTTAATAATAGGCACTAATACTGCTGCACTGCGACTGGGAATCGCTTCTATATACCCTTTGCGCAGTGTCATGTCGTAGATACCCAGTATCCACTACTGGTTTGCTTGTAATCTCCCACGGTTGTATTTCCTTTTTATAAGTACAGTCTCATCGATATGGACTATGCTGCCGACTCCTCCGAGAACTTGAGTCAAAGTGTCCATTTTTCAGGAGGAAACATCTCTGCAGTAGTTTAACCATTGCACTGCTGACACTGAATTTTCTGTTTCATAAGCTGTAGCTGTGACTACTCTTTTCAGGACCCAGAAGTTACAGATCATTACAATTTTCGTCAAAGGTAGTTTAGACCTTGAGAGAAAAGTTCCTAAGGGATCTGTAAACTAAAAAACAACGACAAACCATCTCGAACCGATTTCCTCCATCGGCACTCAATACATCTGTATACAAAGCCATCAATGGCCTCTGCTTATATTTGTATATGCACACCTCCTCCGCACTGGCAAATTTTCGACAAAGCTATGAGTCCGTTATCCAAACAGTAATCGAAAACATTCATGATTACTTCCGAAAATGATACAGTCAGCCGATTCCTTGCTCAAGGTCACTTTTTGGTTCGAAGGTCGTTTCGGATTGGGCCGCTATTCTTTAGAGTCACCCATCGATCTTTGTCAAATTTGCTTGCAAACGACGCGTAACACAACCACACAAAACCTCACACGATACGACCTACCAAGGACAAATCAAATATCCAATTGACCGCCACCGTTCTAGCCAATGAAAGACGAAGAAACCTGAGTCGCGGAAAATATAACTCGCACAACGTATATCCTCACCCCTACAGGCTGCCCCCAGCAGACACACACCTGATATCAATGGTTGGCCAGCTAAATTTAAGCTACTGATATCACATGATGAAAATTCCATACGTGTATCAAAAATACTGTATGGAGTCAAGCTGTAATGAAATTAAGAGAAAAAAGTTACTAATAGACAAGCGATTTCAGGGGGCGATGTTTAACTTTTTTATGAATTATAATATGCTAATTGATCTCTTGAGATATTGCAATTGTGATTATTTCCAAGGTAGACTTCTTTGTGAACTGACATCACTTACAGAATTAGCGAAATTAATAAATGTTAGACAGTTACTCCATTCAAATATGGGACTCTATTTATTTGATTATTAATATATAGTTGGTGATATTTGTTCAAAAAGATAAAACCATTTAGCAGTGATACTTTTTCGTGCATTTATAAGAGTATTAATGTTATAAATCTAGTATTTGATACGCCTTCTAGGGAGAAAGAGGATCAAAACAAGTATCAAGTTGGATCACAGATCGATATTAGTGAGGAAATCATTGAAAACCAGGGAGTATTAGACAAATGTAACTAACTGCAGGACGAAGTTGTTTAGAGTTCTCATGAAAATTCGTGATTAGTGAGTTCCACTAGGTTGGGTATGCAGACAAGTACTAGCGGTGACACTGGCTAGTGGGGGGGGGCTGAATGTCGTGAATTAGTGGAAGTTAAAATTCATAGACCTGTCACAGTGCCTGAATAGTCTATGGGCGTGCCTTCTAACTTGAAAGTCTTGGATTCGATGCATAGTAAGGTGATAAGTCCAGTACTCCCTAGTGTTAGTATCAACTTCTAAAATGCATACAGTTAGGCAAACCTGAAAGCTTTCTGGATCAATGAAAAGTAAAAAACTAAAGCGTTTCACTGATCGATTGCACAGATGTCAGTTTGAAAGGACAGATTATTTCGCAAGATGATAAAAACAATAGTTTAGCTACAGTTTAAATAGTCCAGAGAATCTCTTAGGTATATAACTACATTTCATGTTGGTTAAAGTTATCTTCGATCGCTAAGTTTCTGTAACTATACTGCTTCCTAAAAGTCTGTTCACCTCTTTTTCTCACCAAAATTTGTATTTCAAAAAATACATAGTCTGGTTCAACCGAATTTACACAATTAGACCCTAAAAAACACACATCGCTCAAACATAGACAAATAACTTGTGACTAAAAAAAGTCCACGAAAAGTATGTTAATTAATCAAAATACTAGACAACAAACAGTCTTTCGTTCTCTTCTTGCTATACTTTACACCCTAAATTTTACACACATCGATTTAAAGCTGAAATGAGGCACCAGACAATGTCACCGATCTGTAAACTCTACAAAACGAACATAAAGCAACCTAATGACACTTCATTGAAATATCAGCCACATATATATACACACATATATATACTCTGTGAGATCAGTTTCAGTATGAATTTGTAGAGAGACATAAATAAGTCAGAAATGTTTACTCGTCACTTCTATCTTGTGTTGCCAATTCTCCTAACATTTGAAATTAATCCGAGTAAGTTTAAAGTATATTATAGTTGATTATCACAGGTCTAGTTTAATTATAAATTTTTTATATTTTTTGTACCCTATTAGATTTTTAACTCTGCATCTGTTGGGGATTCAAGTTGTTTGTTCCTATTTAAGAGGAGTAATTCGAATATTGTAATATGATAAATTTAAACAACCAACGAAACCAGTATCTACCACTTACCTCTTATGATGTAAACAACACAGCTGAAAATCAGATTTAAGATTATGTAAATCCATGAAATACCACAGACATTATTTAGTAAGCTGGTACAGACATATCACATTGAGAAATATGGTCTATTATCGTATGTGGATGACACTTAGTATATCTTCCTAATCCTTAATTTGTTGATCAAAGTCGATCAATGATGCATCCATGGTGATCCTTTGGTTGAACTGTTCAGTGGGAATGTGTTGTGATTTTATATTAGATTTTAAGAACAGTCACATAAAAGTAATCCGTGAATGTAAATCTTGTATTTTTCAACACTCTCCAGTAAGGTTTGTCAGTAAACTGGATGGGAAATTATACTCTTTTCGTGCTCTAGTTAAATCTTTGCCACCGGTACTTTTCTGCTAGATCTTCTGTAATAGGTAGGGGGCCAGGATAGATGTCACACTCTACTAGTTGTATAAGTATTTTCAATAGTTGGTTTGTAAGGAGTGGATTTGTTTTTACTAGTTGATCACTGATTGATATCAGTTAGAGAACCATTGAAAGCCATGGAGTACTGGACAGCTGCCGATGATTCCCAAACTAGGATGAAACAGCTGTCCCTGGTTTTCAATGGTTCTCTAACTGATTTCAGTCCATGATCAACTCGTATAAGTATTTCCCAGAATTTTCTCAGTATTTTGGAGGAGAGCAAAGAAATATTCTGTCTTAGATATGCTTGAGATATAAGAAATTAACAGTTTTTATCCTTTGTATAGATACATTAACAACCGACCATGCACATGGTCCGGGGTTCGAGCCCACGCCGGCGCACACCTGATATCTATGGTCGGCCTGCAAAATTTGGGCTACCGATATCCATGCTGAAAATTCCATACTTGTACCAAAAATACAGTGTGGAATCAAGCTGTAAATCAAAAAAATAAAAAATAAATAGTATATAATATATCGTAAGAACGCAGACAATGCAGTCAGCTCGCCTACAGTTGTTTTTTTTCACTGGCAAACTACGTTTACCTTTCTACTCATATTATAAGTCAGAATAACCTGTAGACTGTTGTAACGGTAGAAGACAAGAGACTTAGTCACAGCATGTTTATTTGGAATTTGATATCTCTCTATAGGCAGAATTATGTACAACTAATCTGAAAATCGTCATTTGCACATACCTTCCAACTTGGGCTACTTATGACCTTCGTATTGTGTTTCTTTGTCGTCTTTTCATGTCTCCTATATATTGCCGCAACACTGGTTCATTTGCTTACTTTGATGTCAAATCTATCTCTACTCTATTTGATATTTTTATGTCGATGAACGTCTCTGCATATACTACTGATAAATCTTGTCAGTATCACACATCACAGTCATGCGACGGTCTTAATTTCCTTCAAATCATTCTCAGTCGCCGATAGCAATAATTTAGTTTTCTTTCGTACCTTTTTGATTTATATAGATTAGGAACCTTGGAGACTGATCATTCAGAGTTACTCTTCAATGAAATCGTAATCAGAACTTTTGCGTGTTTCTGACGTTTAATCGTCTTTTCAATAACAGAAAGTTTCAATTCCGGTTATGCTATAGTTATGTTGGAGAACTACTGTCTAGTACTGGTGAAATTTCCCAATAAGCTAATCTCAAAATTCCAACTTAGTGAACCATTACCACTTGTTAACCAGAAAAAAACCCTGAGCTTCTTGTATATAATAATAAACTGGGTTGCATATTTGAACTGGTTGAGTTGTAAATATTGTGAAATAACTGTTAACCATAAGCACATTTCAATGGTTCTTTAGCTGACGATGCATAATGAGGAATGATGCTTTTCTACAGAATATGTCAACACGGTTGAGAAGAAACCATCGTAACCTGCCATAAAACGTATTTGTTAATCATACAGAACTTTTCAGTGGTGCTAAAGCTGAAGTTATTGATCATATAAGTAATGCAGTCTTGCATGATTCCGTTGAAAGTCAGTTAACTAATGAAAACAATTCCTTCACCATATGTATCTTCGTTTATTTTTTCTATATACATTAATATAACATTTTTTGGTTCATATATTCCTCTTCAAGTTACAGCGCAAGTATACAGAGAAGATAATTATACTGTCCAAGTTTATGGAGAGAATCTGATCTTTTTATTTGATGAGTCAATAAACCAACTTAGACCAACTCACCTGCATTTGAATGCTTCTTTTGGCTTCCATGATACACTACCATTTTCCAGTAATTTTTTATATACACCATTAGTGTTTTGTCAACCGTTTCATATACAAATTACCCTGTTACAAAATAAAACAATTCAAAGAGTACTGAAAACACGTACATACAACTTTCAACTGACTGGTAAGTGAATTACATATTTGTACTTTATGGCATTGCATGAAGAAAATATTTCTAATTTTGTTCATAGATCATGTTTATAATATTAGTGAACGTCATTAAATTTAGGCGTTTAATGACAGCTAAGACTCCCCATAGCATAAAAGTGTTAATAGGTTTTCAAAGCAAATGACTACCCAACCAACTTCACTAGTCAGTATAAGAAACAAAAGTATAGTGCTTTCATTTTGACTGGTGGATTAGCGTTACTATATATGAAAAGTGTTTTATTGGCCATCAGGGAATTATTTCACTCATTTGGTGCTAGAGTGCCACAGGAATTAATGAAATCACCACAAAATCCACAGTAGAAGCTGAAAGATCCTTTGGCTAAGGAGAATAAATTCAATGAGGTGTATTAAATTCACTGTGAAGACTGTGTCCATATTAGCAAGTCCAGTTTCGCGTTGCTTTATGTACTCATTTACATCAATCGGCAGTAACATGAAACTACATTTCGCCCTCAGCCTCAATCCAAGTAGAATTAAATTCAAAATGTCAAAAAATCACTTGTCCTATTAATGTTTTCAATAACTACAGGCAATCATCTAAAATATTGTTTTTGGGAGTTTGCATGGTTTTCCTACACATGTGGTATACACAGGTGACTATACATTTAAGTTTACATTTATCAGGTATCAGTATTTATTTCAAGAAAACACTTTCAAAATTAAAACCACTCAAAAAGAATTATCATAATAAGAATGGTAATAATACATGTGTGTATTTGAGAATATTTTAAAGTGATTTGCACTTCATGCTTTCTCAGTGCCAGGAATAGGGTATTCTGTTTCACATATGCTAATACTTTTCAATGGGATATATATTCACCACTGAGGAAATTTATGTTCTTTCCAAAGTTTGGAGGTACATCATTCCTTTTTGAAGTCAAAACCTTCACCATTAATGTCAGAAGTCAATAATAATCCATATGTGTTAAACTTTTAAAATTATTTTTTATGATTATAGCTTGACTCCACACCGTATTTCGGTACAAGTATGGAATTTTCAGCATGTGATGTCGGTAGCCCAAATTTTGCAGGCCCCACTATTGATATCAGGTGTGCGTCGACAGGGGATTGAACGCTGGACCATGTGTGTGGTCGACAAGAGTCCTAACCGCTGTACCACCTACGTACATGTGAGAGCATCACTGCTCATTGGGAAATAGGTACATCCATCTTATGTCTTACAAATACAGTGAAACTGACCTTCTGGATTTCGGTGTTAGTTAACGTCAACCAAATAACATATATATATATATATATATATATATATATATATATATAGTGAAACAAATATGCAGAAAGAAATGGAGAAGGATTGGCCATACGCTGAGGAAACCACCAAGTGACATCACTAGACAAGCCATTGCTCGAGTGGAACCTGAAAGGGAAGCGGCGAGTTGGTCGTCCAAGGGTGACTTGGAAGAGGTCATATGAAGAGGAGATGAAAGCATGTGGGCGGATTTGGAGCGTGGTGAAAAAGTTGGCAGAAAACGGAAGGCAATGGAGATGCGCAGCTGAATCCCTATGTTCCTCTAGGAATTAAAGGATATAATATAATATTATATATATATATATATATATATATATATATATATATCAGACCATCTGTACAACATTTTGTTAGTTTTGGTCTAGTATTTCATATGCTCAATTTCATGAGCTATCAGTTACTTTTATTTTATAAGTGGTATGAGAATACTTACCATACTCTTGTATATTTAAATAATCGCACAGGATATTTTCTCGCTTACAGATACATTTTTACATAAAGTATAACTTTTATTTATATTACTTTATTTTTTCCAATCTAACTTTTATTAGAAGGTAGCTTGGAAAAGAGTTTAGTACCACGAGCAATATTGGATAATGCAACTGGTGAAGTGCATTTCTACTGCGATTTTATAACAACATCTGCAAGGAATTGCAATATTTCCGTAATCAACACGTATGGCAATGATGCCGGTTATTGTACAAACAAACTGGTGAATGATCATTCTACACTTGGACACTTAAAACCAAATACAACTTATAATCTTCAATGCTTTGATGAGTTTGGCTATACAAAAGTCAATTCTATATCATATGAAACCGGTATGTAATGTGATTTTATCATTATCTTTTCCATCTTATCAATGTCGCGAACTGACAGAAGTTAGAAGTATGAGCCATTGAATGCCAACATAATGGCTAAATCGTCAACAGGTTCACCTTATAACATGAATGTTATGGATTCGATTCTTGGTGGATCGATAGATGCGGACTGGTGAAGAGTCCTGAACTAGGAGAAAACAGCTGTCCGGAATTCCGTGGTTTTCTGTGGTTCTTTAACTGATGCCCGCCTATTGTCCGATTCGAAATCAATCAAATCAGTACAGGCGAACACATGGAAATCGTATTAATTGATTATTTGAAGCTTACTGGTTTAATTGTTTATTGAAGAAATAATACTCTATATTCTATCAGTTAATAAGTCACACATTATTATGCTTACCTTTAGAAAATGTATCTCTTGTTATATCTAGACTGACAAATTTCTAAACTACAGAGTTTTGCTGGTTGTCTTCCAGCTGTTGGTGTGTTGCATACACTGCATCTTCAACAGAATTTATTCTGCTTAACGTATGTTCTACATCCTCAGTCCAGTAATACGGATTTGTGTATGTCGTTCATAATTTGTCTAGATATGAAGTTGAAAGTATTACAGAAGACTGCTTCTTAAGCGACATAAAGTAGTCGGAAGCAAATTTCGTACATGCATTTTAGTCTAAATGAACGCGGGAGTTTCTTATTAGTGGGTTCTTGATTGTAATTCCACTCCACCTATCTCAACTTGGGCAACTCAGTGGTAACATCAGTCATTACGCAGTAAGTGTAGCACAAAGCTTGGTGTATGTAAACTTATTTCAGCCAAGTGAATTCTAGCTGAGTGTTTCTGTGAGTTAATTTCCTCTCTAGTCAACTAATCAAATACACTCATGCTTGAAAGTATTTCATCACAGCGTATGATACAGCTTCCTCCATTAATTTAAATATTTCTCAGTTGCATGTAGTCACTTCCACTGATAAATCTGAATGTCGCAATGACAAAAGCTGTTGCCGCCTAAGTTGAACTCACTTTATTTCATGGAGTTTTATCAGCCTCATACAATATAAATAATAAGATACCCAGGTAACCAGTATGATATGATTTTTAACATACTTAAATATATGATCAACATATTCATAAATGAGAAATTAAGACGTTTACAGGAAATGGTAGAATAATATTGTCAAGTGTAAAGATAATATCGTACATACAATTAAGTGGTTGCGTAACTATGGAAGGAAGTCCCCTAACTACAATTGCGAGCAAAATCAAAGTGAAGTCAGTGACAGAATATTAGTTAATACGAAAATGGGCTAGGCATAAAAATCAAGTTATGTTCTCTGAACTGGATGGTTAGTTTGCGAACCTTTCATCACCCTACTGGGTGACATCTTCAGCGCATACTTCAATTTGAAGTGAGCTTTCAAATTGAAGTATGCGCTGAAGATGTCACCTAGTAGGGTGATGGAAGCTTCGCAAATTAGCCATCCAGCTCAGAGAACACAACCACATCAAAATCATCCACCTGAGCTACAAATCTTCTCTATCATATATAAAAATCAAGTTAAGTCATAAAAACAAAACTAAATTTTAAAGAGGTAAAATTAAATGTAATAAACAGTTAGCAATAGTCTCTAACTGAACCCATAATTCAGGCCGTATCATTCGAATGGTATATATATATATATATATATGCTGAACATTCCTATAGAAAAAACACTATCACTTATATGAATACAGTGTATTTCGAGGATGCCATAAATCTACATCGTAATAAATTATTTTATCACCAGTAGTTTGACGATAAATGTTACCTTTTTATCAGTGCTGGTAATGTACCTTTTACTGCATTAGTTTATCAGTACCTTCTCAATGAAATTCAGTAAAATATGTAGAAACGAATCATTGTAGATAATGAACAAAATGTTACTGAGATAGTGTGGTCTGACGTAGGAATTACATCCTATTTAAGATGCGGCAGAATTTTTTAATACTGAAGGATTAGGGTGGTGAAAGGAGAGATTGAAAGAGTTTCTTTTTGGGCAAAACTCCACCTTCTCAGTGTGGAGGAAGAGAGTTTCAGTAATACAGATGAGATGATTTTGCAAATGATTATGGATCTGTAGACACTTGAGTCTAATCTGTTACTAACATTCTGTTCTTTGTTTAATCAATTAATATTTCTCTCCTATGTATTTCAGCAAAAATTAACTTTTGAAAAATGACAAGAAGATGAAAATAAAAAAAGAGATAAGACTGAATATTAGAACCTGAGTGGTTATTTAAAAAAATATATTCTCTGACTGTCTAAACAGTCACATGGATCGCAGTGATTAATTATCATAGATTAATTTACTCACTTACTGAAAACACTATCTTCTCACTAAAGCGTGCATACAGTAGTTATCGTTCCATTCAAGTCTCGACTGGAACATAGGATTTCACGCTTGAACACTGAATTTTCAGTAGCTGCTGTGGAGTTGCTCTTACAGTGTGGGATTGCTAGCCTTACATCAAACCTTGCCTGTTTACTGGGCCTATTACAGGCTAAGCAAGGTTTAGGAACTGGTTTTCAACAAGCATTCTACTACAACATAGAACCACCGATCCATCCCATACACATACAGTCTCAAACCAGCTGCCCAGTTCTACCAGGCTTCCCATGGTTCTCTAACCGATGTCAGATCGTGATAAAATCCTGTAACAGATTGTTTATTAGTTGAAAAAAAAGGAAAAATGCCACTCCAGCATGTAAAGGTGTTTTTAGTAATAATAAAGTTGTCATAGGCAGTTGTTACAGCGATTTATGCAGTTGCAGAGGCTAACTAATCAGTATATTGTGATGAGGTGCGCTTATGTGGATAGGTGATGTGTACGTTTGGATGTGTTTTCAGTTTGATGTTGATTATTAATTGTTTACTTATGTAAGGAATTTTGTGTGTATTACTGCATTATTATTGCACACATGCACTTTGCTTACATGTAGAGGGGGTGGGTGGATGTAGTGTGTTGATGTTGGTTGTTATGAGTATTGGACATTTAACTCATGTGGTAAGTGACTGAGTGGTGTGTCGTTGAATCAGTTTCAAAGCCAGAAAAAGTAGTTCAATATTGTTTGAAATTAATCATGAGTTGTGTCTGGGAGTTTGTTTGTTTAGTGAAAGTAATTATTGCCTAATTATTATAACATAAAAAAGCGATGCCTATGATCGGCCACCGAGCACAGGCTATTTCTGACATACAGAATGGGAAGAGTGAAGCTTTCACGCATACACCTCAGTCTGGCTGAATGATCGGACACGGAAGCAGTCAAGTTCGCACTAATTGACGCCAAAAGCACCCAGTCAAATGGAAAGCCAACTATAATCTTCAGAGAGGTTTAATTTATGTATTATATATATATATATATATATATATATATATATATATATTGACGTTTGACGAGATCAGAATAAATCTGCTGAAGTAGCAGTGTCTTACACAAAGAAACTTTCAGAAAAATCTTATTCTACTTTACTAAATGCACTCTTAAAATTACAAATCAAGAGTACTTCACGTTTGTGGAATAAATTCCTAGACTATTTTGTTTTATTAAAACCGAATAATTCTGAAATTACACAAAGACAACATATTTTAACATCACCTGATTAATTTCTGCTGAGCATTTTTCTTTTGTTCTATATTGTCATCCTGAATACTAATAAGCAAAAACAAAATTTGTATAAAAAAACCAAATGATGAAATGACTAGCAGAAGTTCATCATTTACTTCTGTGAAACATTGTAGAAATAATATCTTGAAATACCTCCTAAGTATCTAGGATGAAAAATACACAAAATAAAAGCAAATTTGGTGACAGTATATCCTTTTAAAAAAAAATAGTCGTTGCATATTTCATTTTTAATTAGAAATTATTTTGTATAATATCACGTGAATTGTTCACCTCTACTAGATGGAAACAGCTACCTGGCTGTATCGAAATAAAGTCAATAAAAGTTATGCACGACCATGAATATAGTCATCTAGATGATATCTGGAAGGAAATGAAGCCATTCAATCCAATAAAAGCCTATTAAGTACCTTTGGTTCCTGAAGGCTCTGATGAACAGTACTATTTAAAAAAAGAGAAATGCCATTTAAAAAAGTGTTTCACCAGTCACGCTTTTCCACAGGGGTTACTCTAGGCGATATATATATATATATATGTGCAAAGTAAAGAGCGGTAAATTTCGCCTTGTTTAGTTTCAACTAATACCTTTTTAACTAATCAACAGGTAATCAAAGAAATGTGTTTCTTGAACAGCTTCAAAATACTTCCTTACCAGATCCTAATGAAGAGGAATTTGTATGTCCGGAAAATGGAGGTAAATCATTTGGAACACTTATTCATAAAAGATGACACAACTTGTCAGAGTGCCAAGTATCTTTTTTGAACAGCAGTTATTCTGTTAAATTTATATTACTATTGTTATTATTATTTTTCCCTTGAGTTTCTCATGCAGCATAGCGTTTCATCAGTACATGCTCCCTTCATCCTGTTCTCTGCATCCTTTCCCATAATCTGTCATGTCCTCCTCACACAATCCCCTCCACGTCATCATCATAAACTCAACTTATCGTTTCCCATTCGAGTTCCATTGAAGATCATAGCGCGAGATGTCATTCGATGACATCCTCAGAGTATGTCCAATCCGTCTCCGTTTTCTTCTCCTCATATTTATTGAGCAGTAGGTTGATGAATCGCTTGTTACTTGAGTATCTTGTTTCTAATTCCTTTTGACCAACAATCGAATCTTCAGTATGTAGCAGGCGAAAGTAGCTGTTGATAAAAGTCTGAAATAGCCTGTTGCAAGTGCTTTTCGTGACTCGTGACTCAAGTTTTTGACCCATATATAAGATTTGACTGACCTGACATTAGTGTTGAGAATTCGAATTTTGTTGGTAATGCTGGGTACAGAAGATTTCCGAGTGCTGAATTTTTGTATTGATCTTCCGATTGTTTATTGGGCATCCTCATAGGTGCCTGTAGTTGAAGGGATTCGCTTAGATAAGTGAATGAGCGATTAGATGTATTTTTCGGGTTGCGTTGCTAGCCTCACGCCCAAACTTGAATCTTTTCCTGGGTGTAGAACTGGCTAGAAAACTAGTGAACTAATAAACTGGGCCGGGATCTTTTAAATTTAGGTAAGAATAATTGACCTAAGTAATAAACTAAAATAATTAATAATCAGTGCTTCATTAGCATACTTTAAGTGTTTCTAAAATTTGAAAATCTGTTCAATGGCTGATTTGGTCACCATGATGGTTGGATAAGCCGAAAATGATAAGGTGTAAAAAGTTATACAATTCATTTGGTTTTAGTTGGCTGTAAATTTTCTGCACGGTGCACAATTCGTTAACAGAGGATCCTTAATTTTCCTAATCATATGTTCAATCATTATCGTATAATGTAGTTGTGTACTGTTCCCCTTTCCTCCCATGAGATATCAATAAACTTTTTTTTCCTTCACGTTCCCAGTGGAACATAGGGCTTCAAGCTAGTGACTTGAAGTTTCTGTAGCAGTGTTTAATTTTACAGGATGGGGCTGCCAGCCTCATGCCCAACCTTTCCTCTTCACCAGCTTTACTTCTGGCTGAGTGAGGTAAAGGAGTGCGCCGGCCGAGAATCGAACCCCAGACCATAAGCATCGTTGGCGAGCATCCTAACCGCTGCGCCACCGACGCAATAAACAGTTAGCATTTATTGGCATTTTTCTCTCTGAAAACTAATTTCACACCATTATTTCTAGCAAGCTTACTGGGGCATATATTTACTCTTCTATTTTAGATTCTGTGAAGGTGGAAAATGTGACGGTTGAAATGTTAAATGGAGGTGCAGCTCATGTGGTCAGCTGGAGCCCAATAGAAGAAAAATACTCCCAATGCATATCGTACTATCTGATATGCCGAGTTCATAGACGTACACGGCCAAAGATTTCAGTATTGTCTCTTGTAAAAATACGCGTGAATGGACATTTAAATAACATATTTACAGATTTCGATGAAGATCAAAGTTATATTTATAAAGTGAAAGTGTTTTTCAAGAATTCTGTAAGAACGAAATTTTCTCAGCGTGTTGAAATTCATACCGCAAGGGCACCTATTTACAGTAAGTTTCTCAATATCTCCCTGTTTTGTACTATCATTTTAAATATGTCTCACTCTTGATTCTGTTTAGTGAAAGTAAACAATAGAAAATATTAGCCAGTAAAGTGGGGAAACACATTGTAGATGATTCTCTTTGCCAAACATTTTTCCTTAAACTTGAGACTCTGTAACTGATTCAATGTGTGATGCTTCAATTTATTTCTTACATGCTGGTTGATTCATCAATGTAAAACAAATGATTTTTCTAATAGAGTCTACAACAAAAGTCGATTTCATGAACTAATGGTTATTACGTATGCGTAGAAGCTGATGATATGTCTCAGCTACTTATTATTTCGTTTGTATGAATGAATGAATTTCATGTATACAGTAATTTTATTGTGACACAGAGTTCTGAACACACACTTTTGTGTCACTGAGATTGTTCGCGGGAAGTAATCAGGAATTTCAAACGTTTAGTGGAAGGAGCTGTCTAGACAGCGGGGTGCAATCAACAGGAAGCCTTACACATAAATTTCATGCTTGTTGGCAACCACCGGTTGACAGTGCATATCTGCAAACTTGAAGGAGCTCATGTTTCTTCTGACATTCGAACTCATGTCACCCAGCGCTCCAGAGACGTTACCTTGTGGACTACTTGGGGTAGCGACCGACCTTCTCTAGGGCTGTATTGGATATTTCGATTGTATACCAGTTAATGTCATGCGTCTAATCCTCTTTTCGGTGTAGACTGAATGTCAGTGAAGTTCGCTATATCGTCACCATGCTAGTTGGTTTGCCATCACGGTACGTTGTGAATTGTTGTTTCTAGATGGCTGGAGACAGTCTCGAAAGGGACATGAGCTCCTTTAAGATTTCGGATACGCCTTGTTAAGTAGTGAATGCCAACAAGCGCGAAACCTAGGTGCAAGGCTTCCTACCGATTGCCTCACACTATCTGATAACGAGATTTCAGAGTGTACCATGATGGAAAACTAACTAGCATGGTGGCCACACTGCATGCTTGACTGATAGAATCCAGTCTACACTGACCGAATGACTAGATGTATGGCACTAGTAAGTCTCCAATAGAAGGAACTGTCGAATTAAACTTGAGGCTTTGTACTTCACATGGTTCAATCTTAGTCTATATGTTTTACCCATATAAGATGTTAGATTTTCGATGCTATGCTTAGATCCCCTGAAGATTTCCTCATAATCTAGTATCAACCGAAGAATTATTAGAAACCAAGGTGATCCCTGGCTCTTTATTTGATATCGGTTAGGGATTTATTTTGTCTTATAGATTTTATTACTGATTATTTATTTCGTTCTTATTTAGAAAACATTTTTAAAATTACTTTCTACAACTTTTAGATTGTAACTGCAGTTTGAATAATGAACACAATTATACTGGTATTAGGGTGCCAGGTGAGTCAAACAGAAATTTTAACCGATGCATTAATTAAGTATTTTCATTTTGACTAGTTAATCCTGACGAAAAGATAGGCTTGAGTATTAACATTCTTAGAATAATGTGAGCAAACGACAACAGCTATCTGTTAGGAGGTGTGCGAATCTCGATTTTGTACTGGTAGGCACTGTTGACATTTGACTTAGAAAAAGAAAGTTGTGCTACAGTTTAGTGTCTTTCCTGAGTAAAATGATCCATAGATTTTGATCAACATACTATTCACCAATATTTAATCATAACAGCTTTATTCTGGATAACGCATATTATCCAGCACATAGTACATAATTCTCAAGGTGTTTTACTGTGAAATAATAGGCGATTATGCATCATTTGAAGCAGTTTTGTTCGATCCGAAATATACCATAATCCATCGCTATATTTGTTTTGCATTTTCTTTAAAAATCTGCCTACTGCTAGGCTGAAATCTACTTATAAAATAGAGTGAATTCGATGCATTTTGCTGGATACACAATTAGGTGATTTAAAACAGGTTGTCGTATATTACATCTGTCGGCTGGTTTCTGCCTAAATTGGCTTTTTCAGTAAGCATTATTATGACTCTGTAGAATAATGAGAATATAATGTACAGTAACTAGAATATTTAATAAACATTAGAACTCAAACAGCACTATACAGCTGCTTTTTACTTTTTTATTCTTCAACAACGAAATATTCCCATATTGAGTTATAAGAAGAAGGCGTAAACAGCGAAGAAAATTTTCTTTCCAACGATTCATTTTCATGAGCTGTACAGTCGTAATTATACTTAACTAAGAAATCCTTAGACCAGTCAGATACTGGTAAACTTTGTCCTCTTACAGGTTCTTAAAGTTTGCTAGCGTTCATCGTGTTTCTTAATTCTTTCACTGAAGTTTGAATCTTCGCTAACCTACATAAATGTACACATCAAATGACATACATTGAAAAATTGTAACACTTAACTTCTGACCGTTATTCATGTAGAAAAAGACTTCAGTGAATGCATTCTATTCGATAAAGCGTTGGTCCTACCTGCTACATTTTACATGTTTTGTATTCTTCACTGTTTGACATCCATGTTTAACTGTCTCCCTCCACATGCATAAAAACGAGTAGGAAATCATAGCAAGCCTATGGGACCCAGTAGTTTTGTACGTTTTCAACTGCCTGGTGACATTCACCGATGTTTTCTTCACTCGGAGTAAAACAACCTCATAAGTAGTGTATGACTACAGATAAAATAAAATATGAGAAAGGCTACAAGTTAGTGTTTTAAGGAAATTTGATTTAATTATTATTGTTCCCTTGGATTCCGAGTGGAACATGGGGCTTCATCAACACATCTCCACTTTGTTCTATTTTTGTTTTCCTCTTTAGCTGGGCTCACAACTGTCCAAAATCTCTCGTCACCTCCTCACACGATCTCCTCCATGTCACCCTAAAACGACCAACTCATTGTTTCCCATTGGGTTTCACTAGAGCAATGGCCTGGCACGTGATATCATCCAACAGTCTCCTCAACATGTACCCTGTCCATCTCCGTTTTATTTTTCACATTCGTTGAACAACCGGCTCTTAGTTGGTTTGTGGCGAAAGTTTTTTGCTGCTAATTCTTTTTCACCATCTGATCCTAAGTAGGGAGCGAAGGCAGTTGTTGATAAAAGTGTATCACCTGTTGGAAATTCTTTTCGTGACGCGAGTGTCAAGTTTCCAACTCATATACAAGAACTGACTAACTTCCCAATTGTGTTGAAAATGGAAATTTTATTCTTTATGCTGAGTAAAGAAGATTTCCAAACTGACTTCTGAGTGTTGGAGGTCTGTTTCACCTTTCCGATTATGGCTGACTTTGACATCCTCATCCCTTCCGGCTGGCTGCAGTGAAACGATGTAGCCTAAATAAGTGAAGCAAAGAACTGATATCTTTCAAATTTTTTCCACTGACAGTGATCGGTGCTTGCTGTTGCTGTTAGGTGGTTGTCTTCATCATCTCACTCTTCCCCATGTTCACCTGAAGTTCTCTCTTCGCTGCTTTTTCTGGTAGTTTGTTGACTTTCTTCTGCTAGTCTTCTAGTTTGTGACACTAGACATAAATCCTCCGCGAAGTCCAGATCTAGAATCTTTTTGTCGGCCCAACATATCCCTGTCTTCTTGCTGCCCACAGCCTGGCGTACAATTCAGTCCACCACAATTAGGTGATAATAGGAAGCCATGTCTCACTCCTGTATTCACTTCAAACAGCTCGCTGAGTTTTCCGCTGTGCATCCCCTGACATGTGACATTGTTACATAGCTGTAGAATGAGGTTGATAAAGATTTTGGGCATATCATAGTGTTGAAGTAGTTTCCTAATAAATTCTCTGTCAACGCTTTGGAAGGGAGTAGTTTGACTGCTATTCCATATTTTTTCCGATGATGATGCTTAAAGTTGCAACTTGGTCAGTACATGGTTCTCCTTTCCAAACTGGATTCATGAAAGGTGAATCATGTACTTATCTAATCACAATTCTACGTGTCATCATTGGAGAAAATATAGAATGGCAGTCAAGCGTCTACCTCGACTGTATCTGCTTATAGCTAATCTTGAAAGCATAATATTTCTGTTAATCTAATTTCCGAATTCCAGCTCAATAAAAGTGCTATTTCATTACTGTTTTCATTAGAACTGTTATACAATTCATTACAATGTTCTCTAACATTCTCTATTCCATTTTACAGCTCTTGTTGTCGATGTAAGAAACAGTGTCATGTAATCGGAAAAAAACCCGATCAGGTGAAAGAAAAAAGAAAGTACAAATATGTGATTGACGACTTTTGTTTAAACTATAAAATGAAATATTTCTCTTTTTTGCAAATTTTAATCCTTGAAAATGTAATTACTTGAAAATAAAATTTCACATTGGCTGATTTAAGTCAATTGTAGAATAATCTATCAAGAGAAAAGATAAAGCCATGATTAAAACCACGATTGATAATGATGAGGTCACCTCGGCTACCAGTAAATATACAGTCACGGCCTCAGTACATGTTGGTTTTTAATGCCTTTTATGCAGTGTTTCTGAATGATGCCCAGAGTAAATGGTACGAAAAATTCACAAAATATTAAGTTGCTTATAATTCGAAAATGTAGACATGAATTTTCAAGAAGACAAAATACCAACTGTTGGTGATTTGTGTTTCAGTAAAACACTTGTAATTCTACTAGCTCTTGGTAGGGATTCACTCGACTTCTATGCAGGCTATCGATAGTCAGCGAGCACGCAAGACTGCTGAAATCAGCTCATTCAGACAGCATGGCAATCTGAAAAACAGAAGCAAAAGAGAAGTAAATCAGTGGATCACTTGCGCTTAGATTTAACAACATAAGTAAAAAGTACACAAACAAGGAAATGGGATGCTAAGTAAGCCAAAATTGTAGGTGGAATGGATGGCTCAGGAAAAGCTTACGCTATCAGGGGAACAATAATGATATAGGGATGAAACCGTTGAGACTAGGTCGTGGTGCAGCTACCAGAAAGACTTGATTCCTCGATAGTGAACAATGCAACTATTAAATGACAGAAGGTGATAGTAACCATGCTTGATAAAACATATTTTATGACCATCAGTTTCAGAAACTTTATTTTCAGAGTCTACAAATGTGAAATAATTAGGAATAAATAGCGTTGAAATAAGTAGAGTGGAGTGTGCAGTGAATATACTTCAGTGTCAAAATTGTCAGTATAATTGGTAAACACGTGACAGGATATATACAACTGTTTAGTTTGGGAAGTTAGAAATGTATATGATAAACTAGTATTGTTTACTATTAATTCCACTTGAAGCAATCACCAAACAACACTGTGAGGTTAAAAACATTAGTCTTTCATGCATACTCATACAGTTCCCATGGCACAATCACTTTAATTCTCTGGAAATAAGGTTGCCTAGTTGAGAATTCACAGAATGTAAAATATAGTTTTGAGATAAATGCTCACCCGACGGTGTGGTTTAGATTCCCAGTCGATGAACCTCTAAACCTCGTTTAGTTGGCTATTCGTTAGTACGCTCAGAAATGAGGGATGATTGAGCGAAGGCTTAGAAACCCCACTCTTTAAAAAGCATCACCATTGTTATTGAAGCTTCAAAGATACAAAGCTTGATGTCCTGCGTTCCACTCAGAACACAATAAATGAACAGAAAAATCACTTAATGACTAAGCATATCTTTCGACGTGGAATTTCACCATAATTCCGTGTTTTTGAAGTCCTTAGTATTCACATCCAACTGATTCCAAAAGTGATGGAAAAAAGACGGACTACTGTTTGAGGTGAGTAGCTGAACACAAGCGACATCATATAAGAGGGATTGACAACCATGAACGATGTAATTTACAAACGGCTGATTGCATTCTGTTTACTACTAGCTTGTCCAAAGAGGTGGTTGCAATTTGAGTGATTTAAGTGAGAGTTGAGGTCCGCATAATACACTTGCATTTCAAATTACACATTCTTGCATTCTTAGTAACATTCACCGTGTCACTCTAGTCCATTAGCATCAGTATTACCAGCACAGTGTTGAAGGGAAGGAATGAAGTCGTAAAGCATGATGAGTCATTTATTGACATATATATGTAGTTATGAGTTATGGGCTTTCAGTAGGATCGAAGTTATACAGGCACAATTACGAAACATAAAGGTATGATGTCTATTGCTTAAGACTAGGAGAGGGCTGATAATTGGTTTTCTTATCTTAGGGATCAAGAATGGGAGAGATGACAACTTAGTCCTACTAGTAACAATAATAATGAAAGTTGACTTGAAATTCCAACCTTAATATTGATCGAAACGTATGGCTGGAGAAATAATAATAATAGTAACAGCTTTATTCCAAACGGTATTTGTGGTACAGGTATGGAATTTTCAGCGTCCATTACAGTATATTGCATCTAATTACCTCATAAATTATATAAGATTTTTAAAATCAAAAGATAAATAAAAATAAAAAACAGCGTAGAGTTTACATTTCAAACAATGCACCACAGGATATGAAATATAAAGTTGATGTGTGATAGAAGATGAGAACAAC